GAGAAGCCCACGCACCACAACGAAGAGTAGACCCCGCTCGCCGCAACTAGAGAAAGCCCGCACGCAGCAACGAAGACCCAACGCAGCCCAAGATAAATAAATTAATTAATTAAAACAAAACAAAACAAAGTCTTCACGTTGAGAGAGGCCTCAGAAGTCTGTCTAATCTAATCTCAGCTAGATTCAGTCTCACAACCTGGCTGTCTGCGTGAAACTCAAGGGAAAATGGCCACCTCTGGCTGGCAGGCACTCTGATCTTAAGATTCAGAGCTGGCTCTCGGAACCTGGTGAACCCAAAGAACATGAAAAATCAAGCGGGTTTTGTGGTTTCCATAATCTCCTTCTGCACTGCTAAGTATCCATGACATCCACACCACAGGGACTCCAGTAACCCCCAAATCCTCCTGGTTCATACTAGGTCCTAAGAAGTTCAGTCTCAGAAGGGGACTGTACACGAGAGACTGAGGTCAACTCTAAACCAGTTGGTTGTCAGTACAGCACATTCCCAACTACAGTCTAACAGGGGGCCTCACTGTCTATACAGGTATCACCATTAACACTCCCATCACTTGGCCATTCTTCCCACCATCCTACCGCTTGAGAAGTGTTGCTTACTGCCTGACCTTGCTGTTTTATGTACTCAAGAGGCAAAATTGTACACATTTCAGTAAATTCAGGGGCTTTCTTCGGTGCTGCCTTGATCCTCTGTTAGGGCTTTTTACATCCTACTCTCCCCACTCTCCCCCACGCCACCCTGTGAAGTGCATCCAGCTTTGCTCCATTCCCACTGATGGATATATGGTGGTATCAGTATCCTCAGTTCTGTCAGAACTTAATGTTAGCGAATTCCCTGGTGGAGCAGTGGTTAAGAATCTGCCTGCCAATGCAGGGTGCACGGGTTTGAGCCCTGGTCCGGGAAGATCCCACATGCCGTGGAGCAACTAAGCCCATGCACCACAACTACTGAGCCCACGAGCCACAACTACTGAAGCCAGCGCGCCTAGAGCCCATGCTCCGCAACAAAGAGAAGCCACCGCAGTGAGAAGCCCGCGCGCAATGAAGAGTAGCCCCCGCTCACCACAACTAGAGAAAAGCCCACATGCAACAACAAAGACACAATGCAGCCAAAAATAAAAAAAAGTAAAAGAAAAAAAAAAAGAACAATGTTACTTAATCTTACCCAGTGCTCAAAATTGGAAGGCACTCCTGGAAAGGGTTTGCCATCACCAGTGTTTTAAACCATTGGAACAGATTGAAAGCAAGAAAAATGCTATATTCATTACTATATCTGCTTTAGTGCCTAAGGCAATGCCTTCCATACCTTGCTGAGAGCAGTTATTCAGTACATGGAACTGTAAAATTATAAAACCTTAAAGCTGGAAGAAATCTCAAGATCAGTTCCCATGATTCCACAGCTGAGAAATTTGAGACTTGGGTGATTAAATCTGGGTCATCGGCTACTTTGTCAACGTTAGCCAGAGTCCAGATGTTCCTACTTTAAGTTGAGTTGTTTCTTCCATCGGGTTGCTTATCAGATGAATGAATGAATGAATGACTTTACTGCTCAACTGATACTATGAAAGGAGACTGGAAAACAGACTGAAGTTAAATAACCTAGCAAAAGTAATGGTTTAGATAGCCTATATTTGCCCACCTTAACTGAAGTTTTTCACTTTCAGTTGAGTGTTTATGTCCATAGCTAAGGCAGACATACTTTTAGTCATTTAAGTTTGACCAATGCATATACACTCCAGACAAATAACAAGTCAGATTTCAATATAGTGTTAAATTTTAATTTCATTATAATCTATATGACTTGCCCCATGACATCACCAGATTGAACGTGTCTTTACATGTCAATGGTGAAGGAAACAAACTTTTCATGTTATGTCTCTATTATGTAGCTGCTTCAAGAAAAAAAAATTATAAAACCACAGTGAGATATCACCTCACACCTGTCACTATGGTTATTATCAAAAAGGCAAGAAATAACAAGTGTTGGTGAGGATGTAAAGAAAAGGGAACCCTCATACATTGTTGGTGGGGATGTGAATAAATGCAGCCACTATGAAAAACAGTATAGAGATTCCTCAAAATATTAAGAATAGAACTACCATATGATTCAGCTATCCCACTTCTGGCATTTATCTAAAGAACACAAAAACACTAATTTGAAAAGATATGTGCACCCCTATGTTCATTGCAGCATTATTTACAATAGCCAAGGTATGGAAATAACCTAAGTGCCCATCAATGGATGAATGGATAAAGAAGATATGGTATATATATGCAATGGAAATACTACTCCGAAATAAAAAAAGGGGAAATCTTGCCATTGCAACAACATGGATAGACCTTGAGGTTATTATGATAAATGAAATAAGTCAGATAGAGGAAGACAAATGCCATATGATTTCTCTCATATGTGGAATATAAAGAACAAACAAACAAAAAACAAATGAACAAACCAAAACGAAACAAAAACAAACCTGCAGATACAGAGAACAGAGTAGTGGTAACCAGATGGGAAAGAATGGGGAGGAAGGCAAAATGTGTAAAGGGGATCGACTGTGTGGTGAAGAATGGAAACTAAGTTTTTGGTGATGAGCATGTTGTAGTGTATACAGAAGTCGAAATATAATGTTGTACACATGCAACTTATAAAATGTTATAAACCAATGTTACTGCAATAAAAAAATAAATTTAAAAATAAAATTAAATAAGTCAGAAAGAAAAAGACAAATACCGTATGTTAACACATATATATGGAATTTAAGGAAAAAAATGTCATGAAGAACCTAGGGGTAAAGCAGGAGTAAAGACGCAGACCTCCTAGAGAACGGACTTGAGGTTATGGGGAGGGGGAAGGGTGAGCTGTGACAGGGCGAGAGAGTCATGGGCATATACACACTAACAAACGCAGTAAGGTAGATAGCTAGTGGGAAGCAGCCGCATGGCACAGGGATATTGGCTCGGTGCTTTGTGACAGCCTGGAGGGGTGGGATAGGGAGGGTGGGAGGGAGGGAGACGCCACAGGGAAGACATATGGGAACATATGTTTATGTATGACTGATTCACTTTGTTATAAAGCAGAAACTAATACACCATTGTAAAGCAATTATACCCCAATAAAGAAAAAAAAAAAAAAGCTATTCAAGACCCTGAAAAAAAATAAAATTAAATTAAAAAGAGAAAAATATTTTTAAAAGAATACATGCAAATGAACTCTGACATAACATGACTACATGATATTCACTAACCAGATTCTCAAACTACATTGTCCTTTAAGAATCCAACTTCCAGATCTTTTTTTTTTTTTTTTTAACTAAACAATCATTTGGCAGCTTTGGGTTTCATTTCTGGCATTTTCCTGCTCATCTCAGAGGGAGAGGTTTAAGGAAAGAAACAGATAAAATTGACAAAAGAAAGGAGAAAGGCACAGATTACTCAGAAACCGTAAGGGAGAAGTAGTCAGGTTCCTGGAGGAAGAGAGAGTGTGCTGAGGTGTGGTCAGGAACCACATACCCATCAAGGCTCCCACTTTTTCTGCCCTCCCCTCTCACTCCCTCTCATTCCTCCTGCCAAGGAGTGAGCTGGCAATCTTACCAATGACCTTGGACAAACAGAAAATGATAAAGCTCCTAAATTCAGCTTTAGCCACACCACTCCAGCCAAAACTAGAAACACCTACAATGGCTGGGCGTGTGCCATCACTCCAACCGCTCCTGTTCCCTCCACTGCAATCAAATGTCCCGAAAAATAACCTGTTGGAATTACAATACGCCTTGTAAAGATGGTCTAGTCTAAACGCCCTCACCTGTTTTGCACAAAAGAAAACTGACATCCAGAGAAATGAGGTCACATGCCCAAAGTCATTGAGCAAGTCCAAACTAGATGCCCAAAACTTCAGACTTGCATTGTTCCGAGCTCATTTAAAGCAATTTAAAAGTTGCCAAACATGCAACGAACAAACAAAAAAACAAAACATCCCAACTTTGGAGAGATGAAGAACAATTACAAAAAGGCACAAATTAACATGAAAACAAACCAAACTAATAACTTTACTCCACCTCCCAGAAGCCCAGTGACGATAAAAGCAGCAGGGGTCTGTTTTACGGAGTAATGATACCTGGAACAACTTAATTGTGCTTTTTCCTCCTTTACCCATTTCTCACAGGCAGAGGAAATAAAAAGTGCATACAAGACTGCTGAAACTCTTAATCTGAACCAACATAGACCTTTTTGATACTTGAAATTTGGTACATCTTTCCCTCCAGGGGCTTATAGAAATCACATTATTAGAGTTAAAACATCAGGTCATTCAATGGGTCTCAAAGCCCTGGGGAAAATGCCTTCCACAGAAATCCATCCTCTCCCCTGACCTGCACAGGCAACAAACTCCAGCTAAAGCCGCAGAGGATTTGATCATTCGCAGACTTTCAAAGAATGGGACCCAAGAAACTAACATTCCAAAACAGGACTGGAGAAAAAGAAGAAAACTTGTCCTTACCCTTAAAAATAACAGAAACAATAGGATCCGGTTTCCCAAATTTCGTTTTAGGGATATTGCTGGCAGATTCAACAATCACTCGAAGCATGGCTCTCAATGGGCAGAAACCAAATTTCAGCAACGAAGTTAAGAAGACACCGGCTCTGGAGCTCGCGGCCGCGCCGCCCGGGAGAGAAGGCGGGGGAAGACTTCTCCAGCGAAGAGGGAAGGAGGAGAGGCGATGGGTGGGTCCCTGACGGATTACTGTATTTACTGAAGGTTACGTGTAAACTGATACCCAAATGCCCGAGCCTCCGCAGCGCCGCAGGCACCCACTTAAGAATTCGGGAAATGTGGGAGTGAAAAGGACAAAACCTCAGCTAAAAATAATTATGGGCAACAAATGAAACTGAAAAGGATTTGTAGCTAATAAATGTGGACACGTCAAGAGACCACTAAGACGCTGCAGCTAAGAGCAACAAATTTGTGAAGCCCAATTAATTGGATTTCTGTTACCCCTTCCATTCTTTGCTGAGCTTCGTGGAGTTTTAAAACTTTACTGCGTCATTTAAAATTTTCTTTTTACTTTTGCCATTTCTTCTCTCCTGCTGTTGAACTCACCCACGCAGCAACAAGTTAGAGAACAATTTGTTTTTAATCAGTTAAAGGGTGCCCCCTATTGTATGGCAGAGAAATAACTGAGTTTATTTCAAGCAAGCCCAATCCGGAGGTGGTGATCGCGGTTTACAAAATCAGTGTCCTGGGAGCTGATCGTTTTCAGTCACAAAAGGATTCGCCATAGGACTTCTTTAAAAATCCTTACGAGGTGAGAGCTGGTGACCAAAGTTTTCCTGGTCCATCAAAAGCTGCTAGCCGTCTTTAGTGAAAATGGAGTTCTCCACTCTTTCAGGATCTAGACCCCAGCAGTGTCTTCCTTTCCTTTGTTAAAGAAAAAGGTATTCGATGACACTTGTTGAAGTGGGTAAGGAAGACTTTATTCAAGGGGAAGGAATCTTTCAGTGCAGGAGGGAATTTGGACTCAACTCTGAATAGGGCATGGACAAGGGGGAATTTATAGCCAGGGAGCAGGTTGGGGGTCAGTGAATGGAAATTACCAGAAGAAAGTATCAGGGGGGAAAAGGGGATTCTGGCTCAACCGACCTAACAGGATTCTTACTGAACATAGGTCAGGGTGACGAGACATTACCTGGGTGATGGTGGAGAACGAGGCACCCCACAAGATACAGAGTGATCAGATATGGAGGGAGGGGAGTTCTGGTTAAACTGACTCAGCAAGGTTCTCGCTAAAACTAAATTTTACAAGGAAATACACAGATGGGCCTAGGAGAAAGTTCAGGAGCTTGACTAAAGTTTGGCCAAGGAAAAGGTCTTTATGGCCTAGAGGGTGTGTTAGGTGGTGTAGCCTGGTGATTAAGATCACTAGAAGAGGCCTGGGGATAGTAGTCAGCCAGACCTGCGTGTGGGTCCCTGATTCGTCACTCTTGAGCTATGTCACCTTACAAGTTGGTAAATCCCTCTCTTCTGCAGTTATCTCATCCGTAAAATGAAGGTGAAGATTGTCATAAGGTCAAGGTCTAAGTGCGGGGGCCTGGCAAAAAGCACATAGTAAATTCCACACATCTACAACCAGAAGTTCATCCTTATTCACGGCATTTCATAGCATTTCCGTTAATGCAAATTGGGTTTACATTAGGATCTCATTGTGTTTCAGAAGAAAAGGCTGAAACTAAGAATGAAAAAACGTAGGACTTCCTTTTGCTTCTGAACACACAACCAACCGAGAAGACCCACCTGTAAGCAAACACTTCAAGTGCACTGAAAAAGACCCACCTGCAGGAATTCTTCTGTCTCAGTGAATTTCTCAATGGCTTATATAAAGAACCAATAAACCCAATGTCATATACATTATTGTATTTAGTGGACATGTAGACTAAATACAGTATATATTTTAGTGGAATATAGACAACATTATGTTTGTTTGTATTTTGGAGCTGGTTTTTATTTCTCCCTTTCATTGTTAAATATATTTACAGAAAAATGCATACAAATAAATGTGACAGTTTAATGAGCAAACATCAAGGTCAAGGCAGAGACCATTGCCAGCACTCCAGAAGTCCCTCACATGTCCCATCACAGCCACCTCCTTCCCCCCACAGGTAACCATTTTCCTGATTTTTATAGTAATATTTTCTGTGCTTTTTTTTTATAGTTTTTAATCCCCCAAATAGTTTGACTTGCTTGATTATGATCATATGAATTATTTTATACATTATGAACATTATCTACATGTATTTGTACCTATGTGTATACACATATTCACATAGTATGAATTCTTTGACATATTATGACCTTTATAGACATGGACTATAAGTGTGAATTCTTTTGTGTTTGGCTTCTTTTTTTTTCAACGTTATATTGTGAGATTCATCCATATAACTCTACTTTGTTTCCTCTCATTTCTCTATGGCATTCCGTTGTATGAGTGTACCACATTTTACTAATTACTCCACTGTTGATACACATTTGGATTATTCAGAGTTTGGGGCTATTACAAAAAGGGCTACACTGAACATGCTTGTACATGTTTCCTGGTACAAATGTGCATGAGCGCATTTTGGGTCTAACCTGTGACTGCAATTGCTGGATCAAAGGGTATATGCATATTTTCAAAATTGCTAGGTAATTCAAAATTGTTTTCCACGGTGATTGTACCATTTACACTCCCACCAACAGTGTATGAGACTTCCCGTTCATACATTTGGCAACCCGTATGGTGAGTATGTAATATTTCATTGGAGCTTTAATTTGCATTTTTCAGATTACGAATGAGGTTTCATACCTTTTCATATTTACATTTCCTAATTTATGACATGCCTATTCAAATATTTTGTGGATTTTTCTATTGGGTACTCCGTGTTTTTCTTACTCATTTGCAGGAGCTGTTTATGTGCTCTGAATACTGGTGCTTTGTGGCTTATAATTTTAATATTATTGATTTTATCAATATTTCCTTTATTGGACTTCCCTGGTGGCACAGTGATTAAGAATCCTCCTGCCAACGCAGGGGACATGGGTTCGAGCTCTGGTCCGGGAAGATTCCACATGCCGTGGAGCAACTAACCCCGTGCGCCACAACTACTGAGCCTGTGCTCTAGAGCCCGCAAGCTACAACTACTGATCCCACGAGCCACAACTACTGAAGCCCACATGCCTAGAGCCTGTGCTCCACAACAAGAGAAGCCACTGCAATGAGAAGCCCGCACATCACAACGAAGAGTAGCCCCCGCTCACCGCAACTAGAAAAAGCCCGCGAGCAGCAACAAAGACCCAATGCAGCCAAAAATAAATAAATTAATTAATTAAAAACAATATTTCCTTTATGGTTAGTATATTTTTCTTTCTTTCTTTCTTTTTTGGCTGCACCACAAGGCTTGCAGGATCCTAGTTCCCCAACTAGGGATTGAACCAACCTTGGGCCATGGCAGTGAAAACACTGAGTCCTAATCACTGGACAACCAGGGAACTCCCAGTACATTTTTCACATTAAGAAATGCTTTCTACTCTGAGATGTGAAGATACTCTTCAGTATTATCTTCCAGAAGCATTTTGTTTCATCTTGCACACTAAGATTTATACTCCACCTGTAATTGATTATGTGTCATGTATGGTTAGAGGTCACGTTTCATTTTTTCCCACATGGATATTCAATTGACCCAGTACCATTTATTGAAAAGTTTGTCCTTTTCCCAAACCTAGGTCATGTATCAGGTTTGTAGATGTGTGTGGGTCTGTTTCTGTGCTCTCTCTTCTGTTTCATTGTTCTATTTGCCAGTCTCTGCACCAAGACCACTGTGTCTTAATATAGCCTTATAAAAATTTCATAATAAGATTTTATCCTCCCATCTTGTTCTTCAAATATCTTGGCTCTTCTTGCATTTTTTTTTTTTTTTTTTTTTTTTTTTTTTTTTTTTCGGGGCTCTCACTGTTGTGGCCTCTCCCGTTGCGGAGCAACAGGCTCCGGACGCGCAGGGTCAGCGGCCATGGCTCACGGGCCCAGCCGCTCCGCGGCATGTTAGATCTTCCCCGGACTGGGGCACACCTGCATCGGCAGGTGGACTCTCAACCACTGTGCCACCAGGGAAGCCCTCTTCTTGCATTTTAATAGACATATTAGGATCAGCTTATCAAGTTTCAAATATTTTAAAAATCTGTTGGAATTCTGTCTTAAATTGCATTAAATTTATAGATCAATTTTGGGGGGAACTGATGTCATTGTAAGTATTTCAATTCAATAATAGACTATATCACTTAATCTACTTAGACTTTCTAAACATCTCTCAGTAAAATTTTATAATTTATAAAGGCCTTGAACATTTTTTCTAGATAAGTTGGAACTTATTTCTTTCAGCTTTCAAATATATAAAAAACGAAAAAAAATAGTACAATTAACACCTCTATGCCCATTATCTAGATTTGACAACTATTAACATTTTGCCATGATCATGTTATCTATCTATCTAGATTTTTAAAATAAAATTATTTTAAAGTAATTATAGATATCATGAAATTTCACCCTTAAATGCTAAAGACTGCACCTTGTAAGAGTGACATTTGCCTACAATATTACAATCACATGACCACATCTGTGTGTATTCAGATTATCTAATTATGTTAATAACAAATTATACTAAATATCATTTTTCATTTTTTGTATATTTTTAAATTAGGACCCAATCAAGATTCATGCATTGCCTCTGTGCATTTAGCTGGAGAAATCTGACCAATAAGGTAACTGACTTACAGTTCCCAGGTTCTACAGGTTTTCAGAGGCCCAATAAAATATATGAAGCCAAAAATACAATAAACTGATACAAAATATAATGAAATTAATGCATTGAGAAGTGATACAATATCATTTCTATGGTATTCTTCCCAAACATCCATAACCCCAGTCTACAAATGCAAAAACAGGGAATTCCCTGGTGGTCCAGTGGTTAGGACTCGGCGCTTTCAGTTCGGGGGCCTGGGTTCGATCCCTGGTTGAGGAACTAAGATCTCACAAGCCGTGAAGTGTGGCTGAAAAAAAAAAATGAGAAAGTAGACAAAACCAGGTTGAGAGACATTCTACAAAATACCTGATAAGTACTCTTCAAAAGTGTCAAGGTCATAAAAATAAGGAAAGATTGAGAAACTGTCACAGATTGAAAGAGACAAAGGAGACATGGAAACTAAATGCAAGATTGTATCCTGGATCAGCTGCTGGAACAGACAAAGGACGTTAGTGGAAAAAGTGGAAAAATACCAAAGTCTGCGCTTTAGTTAATAGTGTTGTGCCTATATTAATTTCTTAGTTTTGATAGATGTACCATGAGTATGTAAGATGTTAATATGAGGGGAACCTGAATGAAGGGCACAAGGGAACTCTGTATGCTTTGCAACTTTTCTGTAAATCTAAAATTATTTCAAAATAAAATGTTAAGAAATAAAATTAAATTAATTTGTAAATACTGGCTTAGAAGTATAAAAAAGAAGCCTTCAAAATTGAAACAATAATTATTTCATTAAAAGTGTATGGACAGGGCTTCCCTGGTGGTGCAGTGGTCAAGAATCTGCCTGCCAATTCAGGGGACATGGATTTGAGCCCTGGTCCGGGAAAATCCCACATGCCGCAGAGCAACTAAGCCCATGCGCCACAACCACTGAGCCTGTGCTCTAGAGCCTGTGAGCCACAACTACTGAGCTCGCATGCTACAACTACTGAAGCCCGCACACTGAGAGCCTGTGCTCCACAACAAGAGAAGCCACCACAGTGAGAAGCCCGCGCACCGCAACAGAGAGTAGCCCCCGCTCGCCGCAACTAGAGAAAGCCTGAGCACAGCAACAAAGACCCAACGCGGCCAGAAATAAATAAAAAATAAATAAATAATTTTTTAAAAAGTGTATGGGCAAAACAAAATGCCTGTTTCATTAATTGGTAAGTTTTTAGTATTCATAAAATTTTCATCTCAGTTGAAAAGAACTTGTAGTTAGATTTTCACACTATAAAAGAATTTCTGAGAATGCACAATAACCACCAAGAAATCACAACCTATCATAAGTTCATTAATCATAACCCCAAATTTTCAACAATGTAATTATGAAAAATCCTTTCAAGGTTTTTACAGCAATATATATATATATATATATATATATATATATTTTAATGCAGCATAAGGTACCTTTGAGTATTTTGATGTAATATATCCAAAAGCAGGATTCTGTTAAATTGTTAAGTAAGCCCTGAAACAGATTAACTTTCCAATTCCTAGCATTTTTTGGAGTCTTCTATTTGGCACTGATTTATATAACTTTGAATAAACACAGGCAGGAGAGAATGAGCTAACCAGTAAAAGTAGAACCTAGTAAAAGGACCAGTCCTCCTCTTAACAAGCTTGCAATGGCTTTGCTGTGGAAGGAAACACTATTTTATTTATTTATTTATTTATTTGGCTGCACCGAGTCTTAGTTGCAGCATGCGGGACCTTTTAGTCGCAGCATGTGGAATCTTTAGTTGTGGCATGCAGGGTCTTTTCCTAGTTACGGCACGTGGGATCTTTAGTTGTGGCATGCGAACTCTTAGTTGGGGCATGTGGGATCTAGTTCCCTGACCAGGGACTGAACCTGGGCCCCCTGCATTGGGAGCACGGAGCCTTAGCCTCTGGACCACCAGGGAAGCCCTGGAAGGAAACACTATTATCCTCATCTTCAGAAATAAATATTTGAGGAGAAGGAGGTTAGGATACTTGGAAAGTAGTAACTTAAAGTTAAGGGGTAGAAAAGTTGGTGGCCAAGGGGCGTGGCCTAGCCTCAGAGCTTCTCTCCTGACATCAGGAAATGCTGCGGAGCAAGGTCATGAGCGTTGAGGCTCAGATTCCAGGGAGAGCCAGGAGCTGTGTTTCACTGGGTAGTAAGAGGGAAGGAGGAGCTTTAAGACCTGAGCCCAGTGGGAGACAGTGGCAGAAGTAAGGTGGCTGGTGTTTGGAGAAGGGAGGAGGTGCTCAGAGGCTGCCAGTCAGACTGACTTTACATCAACCTGTCTGTAGAGCGTGTGTGCATGCACGTGTGTGTGTGTGTGTGTGTGTGTGTGTGTGTGTGTGTGTTGGGAGTTGGGTGGAGAAGATTCAGTGGTGGGAACATGAACTTGTTCTTCAGAGACTGCAGAGCTGCACACAAAGGCAATGCATGTATGCTCACACACCATCACAACCAGCACCTGCACCATCCAGCCTTACTCTCTTCCTGCCACCTCTGGTGCAACAACAGAGCCCTGGAGCCCAGTTCAGCAGCCTGCTTCTGTCTCAAGGGCTTTATTTTTATCAACTGCATTGGCCCTAACAACAACCCTATGATGTAGGCCCTATAATAACCTCCACTTCATGAGCGTAGGAAACTGAGACACAAAAAGATTAGGTAAATTGTTCAGGTTATAGCTAATAAATGGAAGAGCTGGGATCCAAACCAGGTAGTTTGGTTGTGAATTTTCCTGCTACACTCTATTGGAATGTATCCCTTACAACATGCTTTGCAGCCTCCACACACCCTGGAGACAAAAACACCAGCCTGGGTGCATCATAACCAGAGCCCTGGTTACTATCTGTCTCAAGGACTTTGAGCTCTCCAGCTTCCTGTGCCAAGAATGTAACAGTGTCAGTCTCTGGTGGCTACTGGAGTTACCTCTATACCCTGTGAGCCTGGGAAGGGGCTAACCCCTCAGTTTCTCCATGCCAGTGGCCTCTGTTTCTTTTTCTTTTTTTTTTGGCTGCACCGGCGCAGCATGCAGGGTCTTAGTTCCCCAACGAGGGATCAAACCCGTGCCCCCTGCAGTGGAAGAGTGGGGTCTTAACCACTGGACCTCCAGGGAAGTCCCTGGTGGCCTCTCTTTGGACAGTCCTTATTTTTTTCCTGGATACACACTCACTAGTATTATAGTTGAAGACAGGGAAGGAGAAGAAAAGGATGGGAGATCTCCTTTCAGCTTTGTTCAAATATAAAAAGCTAACAGGGCCTGTTTTCCTCATACAATCAGTTTTTAGATATAAATGTGTAAG